ATGTTTATTTTGGGGTCTGATATCTAAATCATTGCTAGATAGTTCTTCTGATGAAATGTTCTAGAAAGCAAAATCTCCCTCTGCAACGCCTCCTCAAACATCCCCTCAATTCCCACTTCCTGTTGCATTAACTCACAAATGCATACTCACCAGTGCATGCACACACAAGCATGAAATGTGGCTTGGGCTTGGGGTCCTAACTGTGTAACTCCTTCAGACCTCACAACAGACCAGGTTTACTTTTTTGTCATCAGTTATAACTTGTTTTTCTCTAAAGCTTCCTTAGTTCATTATATCACTAATGAGTACAATTAAGAGGTAGGCCCTCAGCGCCTCATAGCATTTTTTTCCCAGTTAACGAAGCGCATGGCCTTACAGATTCATTCACACAAGCTTATGTAACTCACATGCTTGTGTGGCCACAGCCAAATTTACAACACTGAAGATTCTTCCAGGACATGCTTTGTGTGTGTGTGTGTGTGTGTGAGCGTGTGTGTGTGGCCACAGGAATTTTGCTAGGTTTTCATGACAGGGCTGATGAATCTGATGGCCATGACCTAGCTAAGTTCTACATTTATATAAAGTGTCTGCTCCTCTATCCTAATGTAACAGAGCTGGGATCTGCTCGCCAATGTCGATTTGTATTATAGGTGCGGTTACTGCACGGACAAGCTCTGTTAAAAAGAGAAAGATTGCAGAGTTGGCTTCATCTCAAACGTCTGTGTCTGATTCGCAGACATCTGTGTCTCCCTGAGAAAGAACTTTTTCACAACCAGAGCTGTCCAACAGAGAAATAAGCCACTTCCTATGGGAGTGAGCTTCCCGTAATGGGAAGTCGACCGGCATAGCCATTTCTCAGGGCTGTGGGGAAGGTGATCCAGTGGTGGGTGGGGAAGACAGAGCCTTCCTGAGATGTGAGGATGCTACGTTTATGATGGAAGTGGCCTCTGGTCACCCATGTTGACTGCAAAGTGACACCCCATCAGGGTCTGCTATTCCAGAGTGAGCTGTTTGGAAACACAAGGCTCTGGGTGTGTTCCAAAGTAGGATTTAATGGAAGATGCCTGTGTCGGCCTTTTGAGTCAAGCACCAGTGCACAGAACCAACTCCCAAGTTCAGGTCACGTGGTGGAGCGACAGAGCAGAGCACGGTGGGCCAGCAGCCCAGAGCAAGTCTGAGTGGTCTACTTAGACCCTTGGGACAGAAAGGTGATGTTGTCTCCACAAGTGTCTGACATCATGATGTTATCGGCTGGTGAACTAGCTCTTCACCTTTGGGTGCATCTCCACTTTTCTCCTGCCCACATCCTCTTAATATGGACTCTGGAGGGAGCTGTCATTCCTAAGTTCTGCTTTCCCGTCTTTTCCTCTGGAAGTGTGAGGAGGCTCTGTATGTGTTCGGGGCCCTGCTTGAGAAAAAGAGGGAGCGAGGAAGAGCAGATCCTCTTCTAAACATGTGTTTTTAGAACTGCTTCTCAGTTAGGGGAATTTCCTGAAGCCTGCGAGAGCCAGAGTGAACGGTTCTTCTTAAGCATAGTGTTTTGGTGAAGTCCATGTGTGATAATACCGCTGTAACCACAGAGGAATTTACCACAGGAAGTATCCCAGCTGTGACTTATTAGCATTAGAACAAATTACACAAAGCAAATTGTTAGCAGACATGTTTCCATAATATTTAACTGGTGGCCATAAATAAGAGAGATTCTCTTTCAAGTCAAGGTTAGATTTTCAAAAATCCAGCTTCCAATTGTCCATGAAGGAATCATCTTCGATTAGGGTAAGCACTGGGGGGAAGGACTCCCCAGAAGCCAAGGCTCCTGGTGCTCTTCCCTCAACAGCACGACAGCACGACCAGCAGTTGGGCTGGAAGCTCAAGGCTGTGTGAGTGAAGCAGGGCATCGCCCCTGGGGTGACCTCGAAAGACGGAAACAGGAATGACTGAATCTCTGGATGTCTGGATTCACCTCTGGGGTCCCCAAGCGGCCCTCTCAGGCCACCAGGAATATAGGACATGGTAAGACAACAGCACAGCTGGGCAGCTACTCAGTTTGATGGCACAAAATAAAGCACATCCACCAACAGGCTTTCACCCCCTCCTCAACAAAATATTGCAGCTTTAAAAAGGTCACCTACTCTCTCACAATCCCATGTCTTGTTATCAGGTTTAGAAAAAAAAAAAGGGTGAATCCAGTCTCTTCATTTTGTAATCCCACCAGGGAAGAGTTGAAAAAGTGCCCGGTCAGTGCAAACATCGGCTCTCACCTGCTCACATGTGTGAAAACCTGGCTATGGAGAAATAAAGCAGAATATTTCCATTTTTCCAGACTTTCTGCCAATGACTAAATTCAAGTCCTTGGTCACTGCTGGGCATTTCCAATTATCTTCAGAGTTATGACAAAATTCTCCTAAAATAATCTCAAGAAAATTTTTTTAATGATTTTTCACTTAAAAATATTCCATACAGCACATAAATACAATAATAGGTCATTGCAGCTTCAAGGGTTGGGGCGGTTAGTAGAGGTGCTCTTTTACTGTTTTCCTATGAAATTTATAGCTGTAGCTTCCCTCTCTCACTGGTTTCCTCCTCAAGTAAACCAACCTTAGCTCAGGATTCCTTCCCAATATATTTAAATAGATTTGGTTCTCCTGAGGAGTTCTTCGTTCCTTTCTCCTGATGAAAGGAAAAAACCTTGGCAGCCCTGCTGAAGAGAAATGATGGGAGCCTGGTGAACGCTCCAGTGGGCACTAAACAAGGCGCTCAAGATGTCTGTTCCCTGCCCCGCAGGCTGCCTGGCTAGGCTCTGCTCCCATCACAGGGGGCCTGAGCTGGCTTGGCGTGTCCAGCCAGCCTGAGGGATGCAGGCCCAGACCCCCAGAACTGTCCCCCAGCTGCCTTCTGGGCGCATCCTACTGGCAGTAGAGGGGATACCAGGTCGTAACAGCCTAAGTAGGTTCTGCTCCAAGTTGCAGCTGGGGGGGGGGGGAGGAGAGGGGGGAGCATTTTAAACCGAGCAACTGTAATAGCTGATCCGCTCTCAGCCTCTTCCAACTACTGTGTTAGGACACACACACACACACACACCTTACATCTTTTACCTGAAGTCTTCACAAAGGGAATCATGTACTTCTACTTAAAATACACACACACACACACACACACACCTTACATCTTTTACCTGAAGTCTTCACAAAGGGAATCATGTACTTCTACTTAAAATGATTTAGGCAATAGAATTGTCTTCAGATTTTTTTTAAATGTTTGACAGACATGGGTGATTGGAAATGTCTGGACATGCACACACACACTCATGCACTCTAATTTGGAATTATGCAAAACGATATCATTATTCACTGCAACCTGAAGCAAAGTGACTGCCGTGGAATAGCAAGTGTGAGGCTCCCAAAATAAGCTTGCACTTGGACAAGAGGGACACACATGGCCTGACTCTTTAAGGTCCATTTAGAGGAAATGGCCTGGCATGTTTTACATTTGCTAAGCTATTTAGCTGCCTGGTCTGACAAGATTTTTGAAAGGGGTGAAAATTAATTATAATTGCAGTATTGCTACAATAATTTGGTTGGCTAATTGCATTTCAGTGCAAAAACAGGCAAGGAGGAATTTCCTCCCTGGGTTATTTTCTGATATGGCAGCATTCATTTTAAGAGTAATGAGATTTTTAAAAAGTCAAACCTTAAATATCATGGCTTAAGCAATCTGTCCTGCTTAAAGTTTAATGCAAAATGAGATCGCACCTCCGAGAGAGCAGTTACACGTGAACATGGATCCAGCTTTCTCCTAGACATGAGACGAGAAAATCTCTCTTCCCCCAAAACCACTCACAGTGTCTCTTTGACATTGTTTGGGGATGATTTTAATTTGGGGGCACCAATGCTTATGCTTTTATAGTGAGGGACACACTGGTGAGGGTGAGTAGGAAGCTTTGAAAGTCTCTCAACAAGGTATGTGTTGACAGACAAGGCGCGACAGGTCTGAGAGAGAAATGGGAGTGAAACCTGTGGATGGAGAAACAGTGTATGCGTTGTGGTGGGATTTTCTGGGCCTCACCATTTTCACGTTGGCTTTCGAGGGGGCTGGGGGGTGCTTTGTCAGGTGCTGAAAGCAATAGACGTGAAGCTCTCCCACAACTTGATGACTCCGGCTCAATTCAGGGGCCAGGTTTAGGACGGTCCCCTCCTCCCCTTCTCTGCCATGCTTTCAGTCCAGCTACCAGGTGTGTGTCTCAGAAAGGATTTCACTATGATGTGTTTTCTCGATTATCACTCATCAAAGTGGGTCTAGCAACATGGCATGGAATCTTCCTTAGGATCTTCATCTAAGTTCTAACTGATCTAAGAAAAGATCAGCACGCAGATCTATCCCGGCTGCTCTCAAGGTGGGACAGCTCCCGTCCTGCACCAGGGCACCTGGTTGAGGGGTGCGGGGGTGAAATCCCTCCCTGCTCCAACCATCAGCTGAGACCCTTGCTCTGCCTCCCACATCCCAGAGGAAGGTATGCTTTCCCTAATTTGCATTTGGGCCATGGGAGGCCCTGAGTTTCCCCTGATCCTCTCCCTCCCAGAGATTGCAAAGTCTAGTATTCATCTCCCCACCTCCAACGCTATGGATGTTTTTAAGGAGGAGGATATGCCCATGGCGAAGGTGAATTCCGTTTGAAGATACGTTTCCTGTTCAGCAAGGAAGGAAGAATAAAAGAAAGAGGGAAGGAAAGAAAAGAGAAGGATAAAAAGAATGGAGATGAGGTCACCCTCCTGCCTAGTAAATTGTGGATTCATCGTCCTTCCTTGGACTCAGCTGCAAAGGGGTAAAAAATCAATTTTTTTCTATTACTTCACGGTGAGGAAGGAGAAAACCTATTTGTAAATTGAATTAAACCCAATAATAACATGTCTGTGTATTTGTTGAGAACTAGAAAAATTAGCCAGAGATACAACTACATAATCCAGCAATGTAACTAGAAATCAACACTCCCATTTCAAAGCTTATCTGAGACATTTTTCTTCTTCTTTTTTAAAGAAACACCCATGGCTAAATGTCACTAAGACTCTTCGGCGTGCCAACACATCAACACCTCAGTAAGGACTCTGAAAAGGAAGGAACTCCAAAGCCCCATCTGGGAAGAACATATTTTCAGATTTTTGCCTTTGCTGCTTGTGCATCTCAGTCCATCAATAATGACTGGGTATGAACTAGAATGCTCTAAGAGACGGTTTCTTCCCAAGTTGCAATCTGTGGTGCTGTGGAAGAAAGTCCCCATGTCTGTGTAGGATAGATCTTGTTCACAGAGACCCTAACCCATCCACGGAGTACCGGATCAGCAGGCTAACTGCAGTGAGGGTCCTGAAACTTCATTAGCAGTCTGCCCTCTAGTGGGACAACACAGTATTTCAAATAATTAGGAATAGAAAAGAATTTTTTCCCCTTCTCTTTCAGAGAGCAAAAGAATTCAAGTTTTCCGGATAGTGCAAGGTGAGGCATTTTTTCCTCATAAGACAGCTTCCAGAGCTGAATTAAGCAAGGCTCACAATGATAGATCCCCAGGGCAAGTTACACACAGGTGGTGCTGTGGTGGAGGCAGAGGTCTTTCTTCGCACATTTTTGTGAGAACGCTCCAGGGTTCTTCCTGGGCAATAGCATTCAGTTCCCTGCTCTCTCATCATAAAAATAAGACCCACTCTAAGAGCAACCAGCCTATCAGGAATGCTAAAATAATAGGCTTTTCAATAATTTTTGGCTAATCATGAACACAGAGGAGCCTTTCAAAACGGCCATGTTGAATTTTTTTTTAAAAGGCAGAGATGCACAAGTTTTATAAAAAGACCAAGTCTTTGTGGCTGTTAATTTTAAGATGAGAATCCATTTTGTGATGGTGGCTGGATGTTGGTAAGGCAGAAGATGATCTTGAGATCTGTTGTCTGAACGTTGCTTCAATCTTTTAAAAACCTTCAGAATTTGGCTTGCTTCAGTTTATCAATATGGTAGCACAGTTTCAGCGCGGGCCCCAGCTTCAGACCCAAGTATTTCATGATCATATCGCTCTTCAGCAACAAGAGAGCATTGCCATCAATCTCCTGGTGGAACAGGATCAGAAAAAAGAAAATCCAGAAGGTGGTCAGAATAATAGAACAGTGGCTATGGTTAACATGTGGTCAGGGGATGAGGGCTCTCACCCTGATCTCAGACTTCCAGTCTCCAGAGCTGAGAAACAACACCGCTCTGTCCATAAGCCAGCCAGCCTGTGGTACTTTGTTACAGCAGTTTGACTGGATTAAGACAAGGTGTCATCTGTTAGACCCTGAAACTAGCAGTTACCTTTCCATTTTAGGTGCTGGTATGAGGCCCTGACTGCCATCCATCACCCTAATCTCATCTTTCTTTTCTTGGTAAGCCCACAGACCTTGAGCTGATTACCAAATGGCTAATTACATTCGATAAGGGATTTCAGGCGTTTGGCCCTGTCAATAATTTGAGGTGGCCTACAACTAAATAATGCACCTACATCATCCCAGGATTCAGCACAAAGAACTGCTAAGGGAGTGCCAACCCCTCGTGGTCATGGTATTGTTCCCATTTGTCTCTGAAAATGGTAACCCTCCAGAATGCATGTAGAATTCATGAACTACTAAGGCTGGGTTTCCTCATTCACCTATCCTGTTATTTTCAGGTCACAAGAGACAAAGGGTAGAAAGTATGGGTGCTCAGGCTGGGAGAAGAGGCAGCTACAGGACTTGTATAACCATGCAAGGGTCACCAGCCCCTCTCCTGCGTCTATCCAGCCCATATCGATGAAACACCTACTCTGTCACTCACTCTGTCTCTGTTGTTGGCAAAATGGGAAGAGTGGGAAGACCTCATAGGTGGGCCTAATAGTCTCTCTTCACCCCATCTCCTAGACTTCCACCATCCCCTTACCACTCTGGAGAGCCAGACTCCTCCCACCCAGATCTGTCTCAACATCACCCACTTTGTGGTCCCTGCTCTCAAGGCCCCGCTGTCCGGTGATGTTAAATATATCCCTAATGAGCACCTGGGTGGCTCAGTTAAGCATCCAACTCTTGGTTTTGGCTCAGGTCATGATCTCATGGTTTCATGAGTTTGAGCCCTACATCAGGCACCATGCTGACAGTGTGGAGCCTGCTTGGGATTCTCTCTCTCCCCCTCTCTCTACACCTCACCCACTCATGCTGTCTCTGTCTCTCTCAAAGTAAATAAACGTAAATAAATAAATAAATATATATATATATATCCCTAATGAAATGTGAGTGTCAGGTCAGGGGAGGAGTCTCCCCAGATCTGAGAGTAGGGTTTCTATGACAGAAATCACCAAACAAAAGTAGAAGACAGGAAGGAGAATATCATGGTAAATGTGGTCAGCCAGAATAACGCTCCTTCTCTTCCCCCCAAAATATCTACGTCTTACTCCCCTAACCTGTGACTATGTTAGGTTACCCGACAAAGGGGAATCAAGGTTACTAATGAGCTGGCTTAAAATAGGAGGAGTATTTTGGATTACTGGGTGGGAGAGACAGCATAATCACAAGGATCCTTACAAGTGGAAAAAGAAATCAGAAAACAGAACCAGAGTCGGCAGCCTGGGCAGGACTCGCCCGATGTTGCTGGACTCGAGGATGAGGGCAGAGGCAGACAGGCCAAGAAATGAGGGTGGATCCAGATGCTAGGAAAGGCAAAGAAGCCAATTCTCCCTAGAGCTTCCAGAAAGGAATGTCAGCCCTGCAGACGCCTTGATCTCAGCCCACTGAGACCCCTGTCACACTCCTGACCCACTGAACTATAAGATAATAAATCTGTGTTGTTCTCTAAGCTAGATGTTTGTGGTAATTGGTTATAGCAGCAATAGAAAACTGCCATAGTAAGCCTGGCAGATGAAGTATTAATTATTACCTTTTTTTAATTTGTCATCTTTAGATATTTCAGAATCTCTTAAATATATATTCTAGAATCTCAGTTCCAAGAATACCTGCTAACTGAAGGCTAACTACAAGCCAGGCACCGTGCTGAACACCTTACGTGCATTTTCTCATTGAACCCTCAAGGCAGCTTAGAATGTTAGGCACTGTTACAGTTTGTCTTGCATATTGTAGGTGTGCTATAAATGTTTGTTGAATGCGCAGACAGACGGATGGATGGGCAGCAAAGCAGGCACTCCTAATAAAGGCCGAAATGAGGAAACAGATGGGACACACACCCCTTCTTAAAAACAAAACGAAGTGAGAAGCCTGCGGTCCCATCTGGCCTCCCTTGAGTGGTGGCCCAGGGCTTAGTTTAGACCAGTCCCCTCGGCAGCCTGCAGCTCCCCGAACCTCGCCCTTCCTCCATGCTCCCTGCACTCCCCCCGACCCCTCCCAGGCCAGGCCCGCCATGTGCGTGCAAGTACTTACATGCTTTCTGAAGAGCTCAACGTGAGGCCCCAGAGCCTGCGGGTCAGCATCTTTCACGAACCAGACCACATCCTCCACAGTCCAGGTGGACGGGTTCCTGCTCCGGGGCCGCCTGGCATCCTGCCTGTCTGGGGAAGGGCTTGAGGCTGGAGGGGTAAGCAGAGGAAAGGAGACCATTAGACGCTGGCTGGGGTGGCGGCCTCAGTGCCTGCCTGGTGCTGTCTGCCCCCGCCTGGCCCTGAGTCCAAGGCTGTCGCCTGAGTGACCTCCTGTGATAGAGAAAGGCTGGGAGAGGCAGCCTGGAGCACAGGGAGGCCACCTCTGGAGGCAGACCCTCCCATCCATGCAAACGTCCTCCGCTCTCCCGGGGAGTAGAGCGTTAGAAAATGGATCTCTTCAACAGGCTGCGCTTCTGATCCAAGTCAGAGTCTTTAAAAACCCCTCCTGTTCCGTTCTGTCTGAGTGAGCCCTGGACCTCCTGTAGCCGGGTGACCAGAGAAAGCTTGCTCAGCCGAACATCCCGACTGGCCCCTACAGCGCTAGGAGGCCAGAAAGAATTCAGATCCTTTCTGCCTCCACCGGTTACATGGAGACATAAAGACAAGGCAGAACCAAGATGCATTTTGGTCCTTGTTCTGGGTCTCTGCCGCCAGTGCTCGGAACCCTTCTGTGAGAGGCGCCCCTTCTCTGCATGTACCGAAAGGAGACATCGTCTCACTGCCCCAGGCACACACTGAGCGCCTCCATGGCCCCCTGCTCTTCAGAGGACTCGCTCCCGTCTCCCCTACTAGAATGAGACTTCCTTGACAGCAAAGGGTCTAATCCTGTGCCTGGTCCAGAGCTGGTCCTTGATAAGTGACTATTTCATGACCTGCCCTCGTCCATAAATGCGTCTCCCACACGGCAGATTAAAAGGTACAAGACAAGTAAAGGAGGAAGAAAATAATGAACCGAATGCCTGGCCATACTTAGAGATTAACTTTTTTCATGTCCCAAACTAACTCATTCTCTTTCCCCAGAACCAGCTTCTCTTCCTACCTGTCAGGTTTCTGAAACCACAGTGATGTTTCTACTTCTACCTCTACCTGCACTGCCCCTTAGTGGCTCCCCACATTTAATTATTCTTAAGCTCTTAGGAAGATGCCTTTCACACTAGATCCTCCCCTTCCACTCTGCTGCCCCATCCCAGATCCTCTTACCCAAACCCCTGCAGTGGTTTCTATGGGGATCCTCACCCTGGGCTCTCTTCCTTTTAGGGCAAAACTGTCTACTGCCTCAATGCTTTCCATAGACCCAGCCCTGTCTGTGCCCCTTATGAATGTCCCTTGCCTATGCACTGACTCCAGAGTCCATACTCTAGTTCAAGGTCAGGGACTCTCTTTGGTCTCAATAATATCTTTCCTTCTGAGACAGAGGGGAAGAGCTTTTGTGCCAGAGCGACCTAGGAGCCGCCCATTGCTAGCAATTTGACCATGACTCAGCTCATTAGCTGTAAAATGGCAACACTGTCCTCTAGGAAGGGCAAATGTCAGGACTGAAATGGGACCAGGCCAAGGCCCTGGGCTACCTTGCGTCAGGCACTCCACAGAGGGAAGGAGACACCCCACCTGCTTCCACACACCCCTGCACACTCCCATCGGGGCACACTGACACAATGTTTCCCCAGCTTCCCCCTCCATCTTCAAGCCAGTGGTTTTGGCTTTTCTCTCAGAAGCTTACACCTTCCCATTTTCCACAGAAGCTGCACCAGCCATCAAAGCCCATAGGCAGCATTTCTGTGTCCTGCCTCCTGGACATCACTTTCCTCTGCCTTTAACCCCCACATCTTTGTTTTTAAGATGCTTTCCACATTCCACCTTATACTGCAATTATGCATGCCTGTAACCTAGAGTTAGATTTTTTTCATCTCCCTCCCTGCCCCTCCCCCACCCCCCCACCGGATCCCATTCATTCCACAAACATGTACTGAGCATCTCTTCTGTACTAGGTCTTGGGCAAAGTGTCTGGTGAAAATCAGGATCCTCTCGTTACAGGGTTTATAATCATTGGCTCCTCCACGATTCAAAGTAAATGTGTGTGTAAATATGGGCTCAGGAGGTGTAAAATGAATCAATACGTTTTGTAGGAACAGTATAGATAACTCATATACAGGCCTTGAGCAGGTAATCCTTAATCCTATTTTTAGGACCGAAGAAAGTGGAGGCTCTGAACAATGAAGCAGCTTCCCTACAGAATAATTCTACGCGAAAAGTCCAGAAGCTTTCGCTTCCACTTTCCCCTTTCAGTCTCGGGGAGCAGTGGTTCTCTGCTCCTCTCTTTCTTGCTCCTCTTTTAATGTGCTCGAAAAGTGCACAGCTCTCCATCAGTGCTGAGTAAAGCACATCACATTTCTGAATCTGCCCTAAAACCATAATGGTTCAGTTGAAAATTGGATTTACTTTGAGATTTTCTCCTGCCTTTTCCTTGCTGGACCTGGGAGGGCCCCTTAAAGTGGGTTGGCACAGGGCATTTTGCCGGGAAACTCTTAGTGCACCCTGGAACCATGTGAATGCGATGCATGCTTATTAGAGTTGATTTCACTGCATTTAAAGACATCTGCACTCAACATGGGGACAAGGAATCACGAAATCATATTTCCCTGGATCGTGCCCTGGATCTTGCCCCATTGGTGCTTCGGCGGTAATCGGGTGATAAAAGATGCTCTGATTACAAAGGCTGGAAGCCTTTGGTGCCAAGAATGATTTTAGAGTGATCAGAGCAGAAGCCAAATCAAGTTTCTTGTAACTGACAGGAAGGAAGACCACCGGACTGATTCACAGCATCATCCCCGGGAGCCTAAGCTCCTTGAGCAAGGTCAGGGCACAACTTTCCTAGTGGCCACGGTGGGGGGCGGGGCCGGCTGAGCAAGAGGGGCAGGCTCATCTTTAGTGAGGGGGCTCTCCAGGTGATGGCTGCGGAGGGGGGTGCCCAGGTGGAGAGTGGCCCTAGTGCTTGCTGTGGGCATTTTTCACCTTTCCCCAGATGGAATGGTAGTGGCCAGGCCTGGCTCAGGAGCCTCCCTGAGGGGTCTCTTCATCATACAAGACAGAGAGCAGCAGGAAGCCTGTCACACCTTGGGAACTGCTCAAGATCCCAAGCGCATAAACTCGCTCTAGAAAGAAGAGAAATGGAACTTCCCAGTGGCAGGTTTGTAAAGCTTTTCCAGTGGTCTGTGCTCACAAGGATAATAAATACGGTAGCCTCCCTCCAGTGGCAGTGAAGGTGTCAGGAAGACAGATGGGTCCGGCCTGACACAGCCAGGCCTGGTGGATGGGATTGGACAGCAGGAAGGCATGACGGATATGAAAAGAATCTTGCTCCTAAGGGACCAGGGCATGCAAAGTGCCCGCCAAATGCCTTTATGGGAAGGCAGGACTCTCCATGTCAGAGGACTTTGTGTATGTCAAGTCCCTGCACTAGAGCTGCCGGATGCAGTGAACAGTGAGACCCAGTTGTGAGTGGATGTGTAAGTGAAGGAGGTGGCTGTTGTTTCTAAAGCTGATCTCACCGGCACCAGGAATAAATGCCTATGAATCAGTGTTTAAAGCAAGCCCGGGCATTTTCACAGCATAGGTACTTGCACTGCTGTCTTTGAATCTCTGTGTGTCATCTATGTCCACAACCACATGCATAATTTCCTTTTGCTCATTCATAATTCAAAGAAAACTTTTGAGCTAACAATAGAGTCATGTGGAAGAATGGAATGAGCAATGAGCTGGGAGTCAAAATCCCTACCACCCACCAGCCATGTAAGCGTCTTTGTACTTCTCAGGTGTGAAATGAGGGAGTTGGGAAGAATCACTAGTGTCCCCTTGGCCCTCTCAGCATTTCTAGCACTGGATCTGGGTTGGGAGGCTGGGGGTGAAGGCCAGGGAAGGGTAGATCTCTTCTCAGCTCCTTCTAGTGACCTGGTCCCCATAGAATGCACCCTTCCTAGAAACAAGGCCATGCCGAGTGTGTGAGGTGCCCAGGCTAGCCCACAGTTGGGGCAGCATCAGGTAGTTTAAAACAGTGTTGTTTTTCATCATTTCTATCATAAGAACTTTCAAGACTCTATGAAGCGAGAGGGATAGGAGATAGAAGAACGCCGGACCAATCCTCAAATTTTAATCAGGTTTTTCTTTTATTCCTTTAAGACCAGCTGACATGCTGCATGATAAGGGAGGATATGCCCCGAGAGACAAGGAGAGACCCAAGGCCTAAAATGAGGCCACACTGGGCTCGATCCTTCTCTGCCACCACAGACATGCGACCTCAAGGCAAGCAGTCTACCTCTGCCAGGAAGCTTCCAGCCACTCCTCCCCTCTGTCTTTCCCTAGCCAGCTCCTGCTTCCCTGTCCCGCTGGCTCCACTGTCACTTCTTGGGGAAGCCTTCCCGACACCCCCAGAGCAGGCTCAGTGACCCCTCCCTAGCTTAGCATCCATACTTTTCCTTGGAGGAATAGTCACTGTTGTAATGAAGTTTGTGCAATACTGTTAGCATCTGCCTCTGTGGACTTGCACACTGTCAGAGAGCAGGGCCCACATGGATCTTGCTCACAGCTCCGTCCTTAGACCTGGGAGGAGCCCCTGGCACAGTGTGCTCAGTAAGTATCTGCTGGCTGAGACAGCAAAAGCTCTCGAGTCTTAGTTGCCTTACCTGTCCAACACCTACCATGCTGTGAGGATTAAATGGGATGATGTGAAGCATTAAACAGTAAGAATTAATCAAAAGGTAGTTGCTATTCTTCCTATTATTATTATATGTGATTACATAATGGCCAATAGATTTGTCTTGCTTAAAGTCCATGGCCATCAGCTTACCACCCTGTTCGGAAATGTCTCGTTCCCACAGATGAAACCGCAGTCTAGTTGATGTGACCCCAAATCTCTCAGCGTGATTTTCCCTCAGCATCTCTGCACAAACTGTCTTCTTTCCCTGGAATGAACAAGCCCTTGCCACACCTTCACTCACTTCAACCCCTCCACATAGAGCGCTGTCCCATTCTCCTTTTCTGATTGGATGGCCTCTCTGTCCATCACCCAACACCTTACCCAATGGAAACGAACTCCAATCTGTGGGAAGCATTTGGGCGGTAATAACCAGGTCATATTTACCTCATTTCTTGATTCTGAAACTTGGACCTAATTGTGGTGGGGAATTGTACAGCATTGTCCTATTTAATGCAAAAGTTAGGAACCTTTTGTTATCTGAAAACTTTATAGCTCTTGATGCTTATCTTGGGTGAGAGAAGATGTTTATGTGTTGGATGGGCAAGAGCTCTCAAATTTTTACCCAAGTATCCACAGAAACCAGGGAAATGTGTCCTGTGAATATATCCCTTGGGAGTCCACCGGCGGAGGCCATAGGTATGATACATCAAGACAGCAGGGGGTCAGAATGAGTACTCACAGGAGAGAGAAAGTTGAGAAATTTGTCATGTCATCCGTGTCTACCCTCCTGCCTGCAGCCTCATGCAGTTCTCTGGATTCTGTGGTTTTAAACCATTTTGATTAGCACCACTGGGGAAAATCCATTTTTAGATCCCTTCCAGGGTTTACAACTTAGGTCAAACCCTCCTAAAGAGGTGTGTTTCTTCAAACCAACTACTTACACTTGGGATGCGACTCCAGAGCAATCCTGATCAATTCCTTGGTTGGAGGCAAACTTAATAACCCTCCAGAGGGCCCACAGCAAGCACCCAGACTGGCAACTAGGTGACAAATGGGTAAGGAGGCCAGTGGTTTCTTCTCCTTCTTTAATATACTGCCATTCAATTCAGCACGGCTTATCTCCATGGGGTCCAGATATGTTTAGCTGCGCAGACTTTGTTTGAGCAAAGCATACATAGATCCCCGCTCTGCAAATGTGAAGAGGCCCTGGCTAAAGATGGAAGGATGTTGAGAGTCTTGTCTGCTCCCATCCCCTCTCGCCTGTCCCCTAGAGCCTCGGAGGGACTCCCTGAAGCCCACTGAATACAGTCTGGAAATCCCTGGGGTAATTTTGAAAGATACAGGCTTTGGAGCCAGTTAAAGTGAAATCCTGACTCAAAAGTTGAATGACTTCATCTTGATCTTCACTTTCTTTATCTGTACATTGTATATAATAATACCTACTATAATAATATGTACATACTATAGTAATAAACTATAAAATATAACTTGTAATAAGTCATAAATAATATATGGAAAGTGTCTGGCTCTTGGTAGGTGCTCAGTAAGTATCTATTTAGTAAATGCCTGAAGCAAGCAGGACCCTTCTCTGGGGCTGTGGAGGATTCAGAGCCAGGGACCCCACAAAGCTAAGGTTCTGGTTCCCACTATGGGATGGGAAAGAGAAAGTCCTAGAGATGAGGGAACAAAGTGCTACAGAATCGGAAGGAAGGAACATTTCTTATTGGGAGGTGTGGCTGAGACTCTCAGTCACCTACTCAGTATATTTTTTTTCCATTTCTTCCTTTGTAACAGAACCCCTGATTTCCAGCTGGGATCATGGTTGCTTAGAACAAAATCGTATTTTCCAGTTTCCCTTGCAGCTGGTGGCCATGTGACTAAGTTCTGTCCAATGGGATACAAGCAGAAGGGGAAACCTCTTTCAGAGATGTTGGCACTGCCCTCTTTCCCTTTATTCTCCCTCCTTCATCTTGATGCTGGAATGGGCATAGCTGGCTGGCTTTCTGGTATCTATGGTTCCATTTAGCGCACTGGTTCAAGGAATCTCTGGAGCATTTGAGTTAATGTATGTACAAAGGGTGAATAATTTTCTTTTTCTTCAGTGTACCACAGAGGCTCAAAAATTAACTTCTACCATTAGATTCTGCAGCAGTTTTACTCTGAGGAAGCTGGGTGACTGTGTGATTTTTGAACATCCCACACCCCAAAGGGGTCCAGCTCATTATGGACAACTCTGATTGGCAGGGTATCAAAGTTCTTACTAATATTTCTAAGTGGTGAAAGAGGCAATCAGTATTCAGGGTACAGTTAGTGGTTTGCTTGGAGAAGAAAGTAGCAGGCACTGGGGGGTTCTATCTCTCTGATTTTACCCAAGATCCTAAGAGGCGAAGTCCTGAGTGAGTGGGGATCGCCTGGGGGGCAACTAGAGCTCTAACAGAGAGGCTCCCTCAGGACTGGTTCTCAGAGAGGGTCTGGGCCACCCCTCAGACAGCTAACTGGGGTGTAACTCCAGGAGAAAAAAGGGCTGGGGAAGGAGGCAAAAATGTAGGACAAGAGAGTGTTGAGGCTGGAATAGGAGGGCTTCACAAGGCGGTAGGAAAGCTACCTTGAGATCCCCTTGAAGGGTCCAAGATTCCCCTGATCCAGGGGTACCAGATGGACTGGAATGGGGCAGCCAGTTCTTCAGCTAGTGATAGAAATTCTCTTCATCCTCTTATTGCTTGAAGCTTACACTTAACACCTAGGGCCTGATATTCCACCAACTTGACTGGAAGAGAGAGTAAATAAAAAGTGGCAACACTCAGGATTATGAATCCACTCAATCAGGCAATGAACTGTGATCACCACCCTGAGCCAATAAATGGGAATTGGGTTGAGGAGAAGAGGTTGAGAAGAGGAGATATCTGACAGGCGAGGGACACCAAAAGGAAGGTTTTGACAACCAGAGGCAACATGAGGACACTGGTATCATGGTAGGGGACACAGACATCATGAATGTTTCCTGAACCACTACATGCTGGATGCTACATAAACTCTGGGGATAAGCCTAGGAAGTAAATGCTGCCCCTCATTTACTTTAAGATATTGATTTGTGCCAGATCTTGTTCTCTTCTCTTATTCTTAAAAGTCAGGTAGAACAATGTCTCTCCTCTTTGGAAAATGGGCTCTGCCCACTCAACTCTTCTGCCTGGCTGATGGCTTAGGTGACAATGCTGGGAAGTAGTCTGTAGGTTGCCTCTACATTTGGCAAGAGCATCCATGGCTAAGGGATTCTGTACTCTGCTCTCAGAACTACCTTCCTCAGAACTGACTCAAGGGAGTCCCGCCTTTCTATCTATCCTCAGCCAGGAGAGACTTGTGTGAGATGGGAGAAATCTTTGAGGGGAGCACATGGAGGATGTTGGCTCATACAAACTAGCTCATCACTGTGGCTTCTCAGGACCACTTGTAGAAAGATCCAAGGCTCCAAACAAAAATGTAGCTTGCCAAAGAGGACAGCCAACCCACTGGAAGTCTCCAGAGGGGCAGGATGAAGACTCCCTGACTCCTCAGCCTGGGGCCTCCTCTCTTCAGCAGCTTTTAGGCTCAGAGCTGCTGGGCTGTGATCGGTTGAGAGATGTGTTCACATGATCTGTGACAGCTAATGTTTATTGAGCTCTTACCACATCTTAGGTCTTGCACTAAATATACATATGAACTTATTTAATCTTTCTGACAAACCTATGAGGTAGATGCTATTGTTATCATTCTAATTTTACAGGTGAGGAAACTGAGGCACAGAGAAATCTAGACTTGCAAAAGGTCATACAGTCAGGAGGTGGTAGGTTCAGGATTCCAGCCCAGTGCATCTGGCTCCAGAGTCCAAGGGATTATGCACTATGCTTTACAGCCTTTGTTCATTAATGAAATACTGAAGCTTGAAAATTATTTAAAAGAAAACCACAATTCACAATGGACACCAAGCTATCCCTAGAATGAGAGCACTTTCATGCATTGCATCTTGACAAGGCATCACAAGGTAGTACAGCCAGCATTATGGAAATGTTGTTTAACTCTGGTTCTGCCCATGTATTTTTGTCCTGCAAATGTCCCCCACTTTGTAAGAAAAGATGCTTTACTGACACCTGGTTCTTCTTTTTCCTGGCACAGAGATGATCTATATCTTTTAGATTCCCTTAGAGTTAAGTATGGCATAATGGCCAGCTCTTGCCATTGAAATATGAGTGGAAATGATGTGCATCATTCCCAGGCTCTGGGGAGGAGTATGTGCCTTCCTCGCTTACTCTTTCCTTTCCTACCCAGTGGGTGTTGGAGGCATGGAGGCCATACGGGATAGCAGGGCCACAAAATGGACAAAGCCTGAGTTCCTGAATTGTGATCCATCCACAGACTAAGAACTGGAACTAATACCCACCATCATAGAACTAAGAACACCCACCTTGGACTCTTGAACAAAAAAGTAAAATAAATTTCTATTGCATTTGAGCCACTGTACATTTTGGAGTCTGCTTACTCCTACAGCCTAGCCTATTCTTATATACCATTGTCTTTACAATTTTCTTTCCAATTTCCCAGTGTCCCATATTCAGACAGCATTGTTCCCCCTCAAGCCACCCCCGTCTCCCTACATGCAGTAATCCCAGAGCAAGGGCAGAGGAGGTTAAGTCATGGGAAAGCCAGAGCATGCGTTACATTACCACATCTGTTTCCTTCAAGAGGGGTCCCGTTTCTCTTGGGGCTGGAGCCTGGGGGCCTCAGCCCAGGTGCCAAGGGGCCTCCAGAGGACATGGGGCTGGAGCGGGGACCACTGGCAGTGGTGGCCAGGACTCCCCCAAGGTGGCCATCTCCAGAGTTCTGTCTCTTGCAGTAGAGCGAGGAAGAGGTGGGCAAGGAGCCCCTGTGGCTAAAGGCGGAGGCGGAGGGGTCCATGCTGTAGCGGTTCATGCCCACAGGGTTCGCCAGGCACTCCTCAGTGGTGACCGTTTTTGCTAAGCAAGAAGGCAGGACAGAGAAGCAGAGATCAGAAAGCAAGTCAAGGGGCTACCTGACAACCTTGGCAAATGTTTCCCCAGCAGCATGGGTGCCATTGTCTGTGAGGATGAGAGATGAGGGGGGATGGACCCCATATCATAATCCCAAATAGTTCACCTCTCAGCAGATTGAGAGACTGGCTTCACCGATGAGGCATATCCCAACGAAGAGGAGATGGGAGATGTGCCCCTCTGTGTTCAGAAGAAAAAGGGATTAATTTGGTTATGGCTGCTTTGGAAGTAAAATTCAAAGGTGTTTCTCCTTCCATGGTGTTGCCTCTCCAGTAGTCTCTACTAGCTTGTCTGAATCTCCCTGCTCTCTCTTCTCTTGGTCACTAACACTGCCAGCCTCACTTGGCCCAGGATGCTTTGGAGAAATCAAGCAAGAGTTATAATGTCCTTGAGTTAGGAGAAACACTTTGGCCTGGGAGGTGACACAGGGGAAATGGTGCCTCATCCCCACACTTTTAGTTCCAATACACAGGAGGGTACTGTCCTTCCTCCAAAGCTAACAAGCTGGGGACACAAATGCTCATCTGGTTTGTCCCGTGGTCCTCTCCATCACCTGCAGATGAGAATAAAGAGCCGATCAAAAGTGCAGGGGCAGTAAAGGAGCTGAAGAGTCAGCCAACCTCATCATCAGCTCCCCTTTGCTCAAGTAAACCATGACTTTCTACACTTTTAAAGCCTGTTGAACACTGTGAGCTATACCTATAGCCAAATGGTATAGGGTGTTTTATTTTTAAGGAAAAGTTCAGGAGAATTATGGAAATAAAAGGAAGAAGAAACATATTCTAGGAATTTCTTCTCTTCAGTTCTTCCAATCACAGATAAGATCACATTTGCCTAGTCCCATCAGCAGTCATCTCTATCCTACATATGCTCAAAACAGGCTTTGACATGCACAAAGAAAATGTGTTAGAGTAACAAAAACCAGTGGATCCTCCTAGGTTGACAAGGGGTGAACACATTTGAGACCACAAGATCCAGGTGTCTTCTTCATGTATGGATTCCTTCCATAATGTAGATATTGAAAGATTAAGACTTGATTTTATTAGGGGAGTTATCAATTCTTATATATTGGAATAAATATGGATCTTGCCTGGAAATAAAAGTCATTGCATATGGGATGTTGCTAAAGCAGTGCTTAAAGCAAAATTTATCGTTGTAAATAATTACATTTAAAAAGGAGATCTCAAATTAATAACCTAATCTTTCATGATAGGATAGTTGGGGAAAAAAGAGCAAACTATACCTAACCAAGCAGAAGGAAAGAAATAAATATTAAAGCAGATATAAGTAAAGACTAGAAAAACAACAGAGAAAATCAATGCCACCAAAGATGGCTCTTTGAAACAGTACCAAATTTGACAAACTTTAGCTAGACTGGGAAAGGAAAAAAGAAAAGATTCAAATTACCAGAAGCAGAAATGAAAGAGATAACATAACTACCAATCTTATAGAAATAAAATGGATCATTAAGGAATACTATGGACAATCATATGCCAATACATCTGATAGCTTAGAAGAAATGGACAAATTGCCAAAACTGACTAAAAAAAATAGGCAATCTGAGTGAACCTATACCAAGTAAAGAGAATGAATTAGTAATCAAAAACTACTCACAGAGAAATCCCAGGCCCAGATGGTTTCATGAGTGGATCCTACCAAGCATTTAAAGAAAAATTAAAACCAATTATTTACAAACTCTTCTGAAAGATAGAAGAGGAATGTTGTGGACTGAAATGTGTCCTCCCAAATTCGTATGTTGAAGCCTTAACTCCCAAAGTGACTACATAGGAGGTAGTAAAGGTTAAGTGAGATCTTAAGGCTAGGACCTTAATTTAATAGCACATGCTCACTAGCTCTCTCTCTCTCTCCCCCACTCCCTCTCCCCCACCCCCCAGCAACACACATACACAAAGAAGAGGCCATGTAAGGACACAGCAAGACAGCGGCTGTCCACAAATCAAGAAGAGAGCTCTCAACAGAAACTACCCCTGATAGCACGTTGATCTCACACGTCTAGCCTCTAGAACTGTAAGAAAATGAATTCTATTGTCAAATCACCTAGACTGTGAGATTCTATTGTGGCAACCAAGCAAACTAATGCAAGGAAGGAATACATCCCAACTCATTCTGTGAGGCCACTATTAACCTGATACCAAAACCAGACAAAGACATCTCAAGAACAGAAAATTACAGAATAATATCTCTTATGAACATGGATAGAAATATCCTCAACAAAATGCTAGCAAATCAAATCTTGTAACATACAGTATGACTTATACACCGTGACCAAGTAGGATTTATCCCAGGAAAGCAAGGTTGGTTTAGCAGTTAAAAATCAGTTAATGTAATATATCATATAAATAGAATAAAAAAACAAAGATAGTACAATGATCTCAATAGATTTGACAAAATCCAATGTTTGTCCTCGGTACAAACACTCAACATACTAGAAATAGAAGGGAACTTCCTCAACAGGAGAAATGACATTTATAAAAACCCTATATCTAACATCATAGTTAATGGTGAAAGACTAGATGCTTTTCTTCCTAAGATCAAGAAAAAGACAAGGATGTTCATAGCAGCACTCTCCACAATAGCTAAAACATGGAAAGAGCCTAAGTGTCCATCAGCAGATGATTGGATCAAGAAGATGTGGTGTATCTATACCATGGAATACTACATGGCAATGAGAAAAAATGAAATCTGGCCATGTGTAGCAACATGGATGGACCTTGAGGGTGTTATGCTGAGCAAAATAAGTCAGGCAGAGAAGGACAAATATATGTTTGCACGTATAGGAGGATTAGGAGGAACTTGACGGAGGAACAAGGGGGAGAAGAAGGGGGGAAATGGTGGGGGAAAGGGAGAGAGGCAAACCATGAGAGACTCTTGAATGCTGACAAAAACTGAGGACTGATGGATGTGGGGGGGAGGAGGGGATGGGCATGGAGGAGGGCACTTTGGGGATGAGCACTGAGTGTTATGTGCAAACTAATTTGACAATAAACTATTTGTAAAAAAATAAATAAATAAAATAAATAAATAAATAAATAAAAATAAAAGACACTGTTAATAAAATGGAAAAAAAAAAAAAGAAAAAGACAAGGATGCTTATTTTCACCACTTCTATTCAACATTTTACTGGAAGTTCCAGCCAGGCCAATTAGGTCACAAAAAGAAAGAAAAAGCACCTAGATGAGGAGGAAGAAATAAAACTATCTCTTGGGTTTTTATAAAAAAAAATTTTAATGTTTATTTATTTTTGAGAGAGAGACAGAGTATAAGTGGGGGAGGGGCAGAGAGAAAGAGACACACAGAATCTGAAGCAGGCTCCAGGCTCTGAGCTGTCAGCACAGAGCCTGATGTTGGACTCGAACTTGTGAACCACGAGATCATGACCTGAGCTGAAGTTGGATGCTTAACCAACTGAGTCACCCAGGCGCCCCTAAGACTATCTCTTGTATGTGAAAAATCCTAAAGAATCACTTAAAACATTATTGGAACTAATAAATGAGTTTAGCAAGGTTGCAGGATACAAGATCAATGTGCAAATACCAACTGTGTTTCAGAGTAAACAATCTGAAAATGAAATTAAGAAAATAATTCATTTATAATAACATTAAATGAATAAAATATGGGGAAATAAATTAACAAAAGAAGCATAAAACTGAAAACTATAAAACACTATTGAAAGAAAATAAAGAAGATCTAAGCAAATGGGCAAAAATCCCATGTTTATGAATCAGAAGACTGAATATCGTTAGCATGGCAATCCTCCCTAAATTGATCTACAGAGTCAAGGTAATTCTTGTCAATCTCAGCTGACTTCCTGGTAGAAATTGGCAAGCTGTTTCTGAAACTCATACAATTTTCAAAGGACCAAGATTAACCAAAACAATCATGAAAAAAAGAACAAAATGGAGCATTCACACTTTCCAAGTTCCCAGTTGACTACAGAGCAATGACAAAGAAAGAGTGACACTGGAATATGAATAGGCACGTAGATCGATGGAATCAAATTGAGAGTTCAAAAATAAACCAGTGTGTCTATGTTCAACTGATTCTCCACAAGGGTGCCAAGATCATTCAATGGGGAAAGAAAAATCTTTTCAACAACTGATGTTGGAACAACTAGATATCCACGTGCAAAACAATGAAGTTGGACCCTTACTTCATACCGTATACAAAAAATCAACTCAGTATGGACGAAAGACCTAAATGTAAGAGCAAAAATGTATAAAGCTCTTAGAAGGAAACATAAGAATAAATCTTCATCAGGGCACCTGGATGGCTCAGTTGGTTGAGCGTCCGACTTCAGCTCAGGTCATGATCTTGCGGTTCATGGGTTCAAGCCCCGCATTGGGCTCTGTGCAGACAGCTCAGAGCCTGGAGCTTGTTTCGGATTATGTGTCTCCTTCTTTCTCTGCCCCTCCCCTGCTCACACTCTGTATCTGTCTCTCAAAAATAAATAACTATTTAAAAAAATTTTTTAAATGAGAATAAATCTTCATGACCTTGAATTTGGCAAGGTACCTTACATTTGACACCAAAAGCATGAGCAACAAAAGAATAAAATAGACAAATTGGACTTTATCAAAATTTCAAACTTCTGTGCTTTGAAAGATACCATAAAAAAAGAGAAAAGATAACCCACAGAATGGGAGTTACTTGCAAATACTTGCAAATTATATATCTCATCAGGGAGTTGTTTCCTGAGTAACTCAATAATAGAAAGACAACCTAATTTAAAGGTGAGCAAAAGACATGAATAGATCTTTCTCCAAAGAAGATATACAAAATGGCTAATAAACACATGAAAACATGTTCCCCATCATTAACCATTGGGAAATGCAAATCAAAACCACAAAGAAGTATAACTTCACACTCACTAGGATGGTTTTAATAAAAAGATCAGATAAAAATAAGTGTTGGTGATGCTGTAGAGA